TATGTGATGTGATATTGACTGTTGTCTCCGAGCCATCAATATGTTATTATATTTGTTTATTTTATGTTTCTTTTCTGTGTCTTGGTTTCTTGTTTTGTTTTGCTTTGATATGCCCAAATAGGCTGCTGGTGTGAGCTAGCATGATCACCGGCACCCCTGAAGCTCCAACGTCCTGCCACCAGGTGACCAGATCTCCTGCTTAGTTTGTGAGCCCATGAGTCCACCCACTCCTCTTGTGTGGATTCAGCTCAGGTGTCCAGGTAGTCTGCCACCAAGTGTGTGGTGCAGGCTCTCACCTACAGTCCTAGACAAGCATGGGTGATTGGGGTGGGCACAGGCATCTGGCTGCAGTAGAGGTCACATGCTGAGCAAGGCAGGGGCCAGTGGCCGCTCCTGAGTGTCTGAGAGGAAAGCACGCCACTGTTCCCTTGACTGGGTAGGTGGGTGGGTTTTGCATCCAAAGTATGAGCACCCAAAGCTGTTGGGTGTAAGGACTGGGGAACACCTTTTATACTTGGGCCCCTGTTGCAGGTGGCTAGGTGGCATGGGTGGAGCCACCAGTCCTCAGGCCCCTGATGTGGGTAGGTGAAGACCCTGCTTAATGGGCAGAGCAGTGTCACATGTCACAAACCTGCTGGTTCACAGCTGGAACAGTTCAAGTTAGACTTCCAGTATATACCCTGTTGTACTGTGGTAATGAGGTCCTATGCCGTTGAATTGGGCCCACACGAGTCTGTGCAGGGGGAAGGGCACTCAAATTCTGTGGACCCCTTATGCCTGTGTCTAGGCAAAGGATCTGTGCCTACTCTGAGTTCCTGGCTTAGGGGAGCTTGCAGATTATTTTTTCCCATTTGTTAATTTGTTCCCTCTCCAAGGTGGGGTGAATGGCTTAGGACACCTGACAGGTCCTACTTCCGGCCCAGGGAATTCGGCAATCACTGAAGCCATCCCAGACTGAGTGCAGAGCAGGGAGCAAAGAGATAAATGGGAAAGAGGTTTTTCCCAAAAGGTGGTGTTTTTGATCCCTGTGGTAGGCCAGATGCAGGTACTTATGTTTCGCCTATTGAGAGCTGCTTCTCACTGGTTCTGGACAGTCGAGTAGACTCTCTGCCGCTTGGTCTCTCTCGATGTGGAAAACGCCTCCTGAGTGCCACTGTTTGCCTCACCACGCACCATGAGCTGATCCGGCCTGAAGGGCTCTGGCTCCTGCCAGGTCAGGTCTGGCAGCTCCTTGCTACTTCCGAACTGTCTCTCCCTCCCCTTCCTACTCAGTCCAATTCCTCAACTTTGCCTTTGATGTTCAGGGCTCCTAGATTGTTATGTATCATCGATTCACTTGTTTTTTTTGTCTTTGTGGTAAGAGGGACCACTGGATGCATCTTGACTACTCTGCCATCTTGGCCTTGCTTCTGACGTCTGTATTTTAACATGTGTTAAATAGATTGTACATCTTTATTGTTTTTACAGTTGTATATAATTTTGAGAGATTGATGTTAATCTTTTAAACTCATTCTATTCCGAAAGTGAAATTTTTATTCTTTGTTATCAAGCATTGCAGTGAACCATGCTTTGATTTTTATTCATATTGTTAATGTAACATTTATTCATTAAGGCTTTAATTACCTCAAATATTTAATTAAAGCCATTTTTTGAAGTAGATGGCAGAATAATCTTGAAGGGTAGTCAGAGTAAAAATAGAAATCCAGAAAGACTTACGTTGCGCCTGTCTCAACATGATTATAATTTTCCAAAGTGATTTTCATCTTTGAAGGACTTTTTTTGTTTGAACCTGCAAAAAAAAAAAAACACTCTTAAGGTAAAAGCTAACATCCTTAGTAATCCTTAGTAGCTTTAAGGCAGTGTTTCAAAATTCATAATAATAATTGTTTGGGAGTGCTTTTCTTGTTGTTTAACTGAGATCTTGACGAGAATGGGGAAAAATAAAAAGCATACCTTAAGATACCACCTGTGTAATGGAGATTGAGGTGCCATTTTCCTTAAAAATGGTGTATTGGGGTTTTTTTTTTTTTTTTTTTGCTTGGTGTCAGAAAGAATATGAAAAGTTTCCTTGATGTTCCTTGTACCGGCTGACCCACTTGATGTATATTTTATATTGTAGTACAGCCTTCCATGACGCCTAGAGTAGGCTCTATCTGCTGGCTCCATCTTCCGTGGTTGTTTGTGCTTTCCCCTTACAACAGTCATCACACTTTATTGTAATTACCTCTGTAATGCCTGTTTTCTGTGGTAGTCTCTAAGGTTTACAAGGGATAGGAATTGTGGATGTTTGTCTGCCACTGTGTAAGACGTGTTTAATAAGTAGTTCTTGAATGAATGATCCAAAGAAGCAGAAAACAGGAATTTATTCCCCAAAAGTAATTGTTTTGGTTCATGGTGATGTCTGAAACACTATAGATCTTGAAATGCATTATAAGTCATTAAGGAGTAATTTAGTTAGCTTTAATATTAAGATTATTTTAATCATATGCATTGTAAATTTAGTAACTTGAATTACCTATAAAATTTATTGTAAGTGATACGTTATCCATGTTTTCTGGATAGTCATTAACTGTATTTTGTTTAGGAAAATAGTTTATGCTTAAATTTTCTTTGAAGGTTGGTAATTATTAATATTTCAAACAAAATACTTCAAACAGAATAATGAAGTTATACTCTAAATATCTCACAGCTTAATAAATAAATTTATGTTTTTCAAAGTTGATGACGGAGGTAAAATTTTCACATGGATAGAGGTATCTAAACCTCACATACTATCTTGTCTCCTTAAATTTATAATTTGGTCGTGGATCCCTTGGACATTCCCACTGATTCTAACACCTGCAGACTGGGGATGGGTTCAGGTGATGCTACTTGCTGCTACTTACCCTATTCCTGAATTGACTCAAGCGTAGCCATATTTCAGTTTATTACCCTAGTGGGTAAGGGATGGTTGAAATATTTAGACAAGACTAAGGTTCCTGGATAACAAAGGAAATTAACATGGAAAGTAAATTCATTTCACTCACAGAAAAGCCAGAGTCCACCATGGCCTGCAAGGCCCTACATGACGTGTCCCCTGACATGCCTCTAACCTCTGGTCCTTCTACTCTGCCTCTTTCTTACTTAGCTTCACCGCGCTGGCCTCCTTACTGATACTTGGACATCCCCACATGCCCCACCTTACTGCCTTTACACCAGCTGTCCTCTCTTGCCTCAGATACTTCCATGACTAACTCTCCCTCTCAAGGCTGTGCTGAGATTTCACCTTTTCAATGAGGCCTTTGCTGACCCCTCTGCATAAAACTGCAACCTGCTCACGTCTCAACTCCCGGTCCCCTTTCCTCTGGCGTACACTATTTTTTTCTTCCCATGAGCGTAATCACCTACTTAATCATGTATGACTTATAATTTACTTATTTATTATGTTTATCATTATTACCTGTCTCTTATCTCTAGAAAGTAAGAATATAAGGGTAGAGTTTCTTTGTGTGTCTGTTTTTGTTTCTTCTTCCTCTTTTTTTTTTTTCTTAAACTAACACGTGCAGCCCAAGTTTCTAGAACAGTATCTGGCATACAGAAGATGATCAGTAATTATTTGTTTAATAAATAAAGAGTTTGTATTTTGCAGGACTGAGTTTGTTCTTCCTCAGCTTGTGACCTGTAACTGAACTGCCTTACGCTCTCACCTCTGGCCTTTACCTTTCTTATATGGATGGCCCCTTTGAATACATAAAAAAGTCCAGATCCAAGAAAGCAAGGTCTAGAACACTCTTTCTGCCATCTAAGTTCTTTTTTTAACCGTCCTTGCGCTGATCACCAATGAGGAATGACTGTATATGGCAGAAAGCCTACCTTAACCCTGTGGTCTTAACTGCACAACTGTTTTAGTAAATAACATCTAATTACACCGACTTTCTCTCTGTATTCCCACGGAAATTCTGGTTCCCAAATCCATGTTGGTTATGGACTGTCTCACCTCTCTTGTATTTTCCAATAGTTCAGCCTAGAACAGAAAAGAACTTTTACCAGCTGATTTAATGATGGACTGAATTGCCAAGTTAATAAAACCAAAATTCAAACCCATTGCCATTGAGTCAATTCTGACTCATAGTGACCTTATAGGACAAAGTAGAACTGCCCCATAGGGTTTCCAAGGAGCGGCTGGTGGATTCAAACTGCCGACCTTTTGATTAGCAGCCGAGCTCTTAACCACTGCACCACCAGGGCTCTGCCAAGTAAATAAGACCAGTATATGGGTTTTCTCCTTTATACCTGTCTTAGGTTCAAGATGTCTCTAGGAGTTGGGTGATTTAAATTCTGGTTCTTACTCTGTAGCTCTGTCCTTAGACAAATGACTTATCTGGGCTTATGTTTCTTCAGCTGTAAGATTGAACCAGATTGTATTATTTTGGCTCTGTGGAGTTTAGCTATGTCATCAGAAACATATTAAACTTTGTAGAAATCCTCTTTCAAAATATGTTAGCACTTAAATTAATGGTCATGATACTACATTGAACATTTATACTTGGTAAAGTGCTGCATGTCTAAAAACATAAGAGTTGAGCACACCAGTAGTCCTTAGGATCTGGCAAGAATTATATTTTATGTAATTTCACTTGATAAACAGATTTCTGATAGTCTGTTAGGAATTCAGTTACCTAAAAAATTTAGTCTGTCGCCATGATAGTTAATTCAGGGGGTAGAATACATCTTCTCTTTCATCTTTCTTTACTTTCTTTTTTCTTATCCTTTGGATTGTCTTTTGTACCATTTTCCTTCATTTGCTTAGAGGACACAGGGATAGCACTTTAAAGGTATTTTTCATGAATTTTGCTTTATGAATCTATATTTTATTCATCATTGTACCCCTAGCATGCAGCATATTGTTTTGTACCTCGTAGGTTCTCCTTAAATGTTGCTTGAATGAATGAAATTGATTTAATTTTTCCCTAATACTAAATTAACTCAAAAAGTGATTTTTACATTTTTATTATTTTAAGAAAGGTGACCCTTGTGATGGTGGGACTTGATAATGCTGGTAAAACTGCAACGGCAAAGGGAATCCAAGGAGGTAAGCTCAAAATTTTTATATGCTTTCTAAATTCTATTGCATTGTTCTAAATTATTTACTTATCTGTTTTTAAATTGCTTGATTATATTATCCTTGGGTACAGGTAGTGTGTTTGGCTCTGCACTCCATTTACTTTGTATGTATTAGTATGTTATGACTAATATGACAGATAGGCTCTGGCTTGACAATACTGGCCAATTTTCATGTTTCAGATTTGAATATGTTTCAGATGCAGAGGCTCTCTGAGGCTCTGATCAGCTAAGATGGATCACATCTGTGTTCTAGCCAACAGGAGGGGGAAAAACTAAAAAAAAAGAATTAGTGTCCCTGTTTTTAAGGACACCCAGCTTCTACTTATGTTCTGTTAGCCAGAATTTAATCACATGGCCATACCTAGAAACAAGGGAGGTAGAAGCGAGGTTAGCCAGCACAGCTCTCTTAGCATCTCTTGATGTTCTTTTTCAATATTATGTAGTATGTTAAGAATAGACCTCTGTGTTATTAAAGGGTTTTATATCATATATATTACATCTAATTGGCTATATTTATTTAATCTTCTTAATGTAATGCTTTGTACTATAATATAATAGTGACTGTGCTAGTGAGTTTGTTATGCACTCAGAGGATGTAACACCAGCCAGTCATCTTAAGGGTATGAATTGGTAGAAAACTTACCATATGTTTCTGAAAACTGTTGATGACAACAAGATATCGTGCATATCAGATAGGGATTTTTATTTATGGAAATGTGTGAAATAAAAAGAACTAAGTATTATGGAAAAGTATTTTGTTGCTCCCAAATTCTATGTAAATTACATAGTATTGTCTGTGAATTCTTCTAAAGCTTTTTTAGTACTCTGTATGCTGTCTTCTAAATTATATCCTTGCTGAGCACTCACCATTGTCATCTAAATTAGGGATCAGCAAACTTTTTCTGTCAAGAAGGCTTCACAGATCATATGGTCTCTGCCCCAGTGACACAACTCGGATGTTGTAGTGTAAAAGTAGCTATAGACGGTACGTAAACAAATGAGCATGACTGTGTTCCAATGAAACTTTATTTATGGACACTGAAATTTGAATTTCATATAATTTTCATGTGTTATGAAGTATTCTGCTGACTTTTTTTTTCCCAGTTATTTAAAAATGTAAAACACATTCTTAATTTGAGGGCCATACAAATACAGGCAATGAGCCAGATTTGGCCTGTTGACCATAGTTTACAGACCCCTGGTCTAAACTTCCCTTTTCCATTTGTTCAAAGTTTTGCATTCTAGGAAGCAGACACCTAAGAATCTGCTAGTCAAACCCTGTAATTTGTTGTATATACTTAGAACATCTTTCTTCAGTTAGGCCATTTCCCCTCTGTCTTCCACCTCCATATATCCACTGGTTTCTTTTTCTGAATCTAGAGAATGTTCCAGGTGTCACATCATGAACAAAAAATCAAACCTTCCTTTAACTTTGAGCTCCTCTCTAGCTCTATTTCTGTGTTTTACTTCCTATTTACTCTTCAGCCTACTTCAGTGAATGACTTCTTCCCTTATTTTTTTTTTAAGATTCCAGTTATATAGAAGTACTTGAAGTTTCCCAAATTAAGCATTTTCATGCCTTTGGATTTTTGTTTATGCTGTCTTCACTTTTCTTACTAGGGAGGATACCTACTTATTTTTAAAAACTCATTTTTTATCTTGTAGTTTCCTCCATGAAGTCTTTTCTGATCCCTCACCATCGCAACTCATTATTACCGCTATCAGTAGAATTGCTACTCCCTCCTTTTTGTGTCACTACTTAATTGCAATTTTATCTGTCCACTGCTCTAGACTGTAAATTCCCTAATAGCAATTTTACTTATTTTGGTGTCCCAGTTCTTTGGACCATGCTTTAGGTATAGTAGGCAGCCTTCTGAAAACATTTCTCCCATGGCTTCTTCCACTTACTTCTAGTTCTCTGTTCACCTCCTTGTCTTTTTCTTTTTATTCCTTAATGCCTGCCTCCTCTCTAATTGTATTGCTATTGCCTAAGTCCAGACTCCCAACATCTTTCACTTATAATATGATAGCTTGTTGATCTAAGGGTACCTTCCCCACCATAAACTTGACTTCTTTCAATCAACTTCTCTTCTTCATGACTGTCAAAATGATTGCATTGTTGGGTATAGGTTCAACTGCTCTAACAGAGACCTAAAATAGCAAGATTTAAACAAGATAGAGTTTATTTCTCTCTCATAACTGTCTAGGCAGAAGTAGTGTAGGGCTGGTGTAGCATGGTGTTAGTGACTCAAACCCTTTCTCCTATTTGTTTTGCCATCCGTAGAATCCTCCTCGCTTACATGGTCTAATTTAGCTAGCTCACCACTACATGTACATTCCAGCTGGAAGGAAGAGCATGAACTCTAAAAGAGAATGAACTGGAAGCTGCCACATGACTTCAGTCCACAGGCCATTGGATAGAGCCAGTGGTATTTTTGGACCTAGCTTCTGCTGGCTTCTCCAGTTCATATCAGCAAGCATCATTTCTTCCCAACTCTGTGTTCAAGTAGCCATGATATTCATACTGTGGAAACTGGCAGACACTACATATCAGGGCTTCCTTACTCCCTCACAGAGAGCTGATTATCAAACATGTACCAGCACACCACTAGGGCCTACTCTTATGACCACCCCTAGCTTCCATGGAGGCTGGGAATTGCAGTCTTCATCCTAAACAACCATGTGCCCAGCCAAAAAATCCAGGATTCTCTGACCGTTGAGTAGTGTTTCTTACCCGGAAACTATTGTCATTTTGGGTAAGAAAATCATTCTTTGTGTGGATTAGACCCTCACATTGTTGAATGTTGAGCATATAGTGGATGCTCCAGCCATCATGACAACCCAAAATGCCCTATGACCAAACAACTACCTCCCTTATTAGAGTATATAGTTGAGGGTACACAGTTTTTATAGGTTACTTTCTGCCTGCACAGCTTTGGCAGTCCCAGGGAATGTTAGTATCCAACATTCACAGGATTTTGCAGACCAGGCTTATTTACTTTTTTAGCAGTATGGATCATTAAAAAAACTTAGTAGGCTCCTAGTCAGTAACATGAAGTAACTACAGCTAAACAGCTGTAGTTTATAAGATTAAAAATTTTGAGCTGTTTTTACTACCTTCTGTGCTCTGCCAGTCACCGTTTGTCTCAATGGCGGCCTCCTTGAAGCCATCTAAAACAGTAGGCTGGCTCCCATTGTCTGGCTGAGAACTAGAGGAAGTTGGGAAAGGCCAATGCTACCTAGTAATGCTCCGTCTTTAGAACCACCTCTTATCTATGCCTCAGTTTTGTAATATAGAAACAGTAGGCATTTTCAGCTCTGACACATACCAAAGTACAGGTTACAAGCCACAGGAAGGGAGTCCATCCCTTATAGAGATATATTCCTTTCCATTTCTGTTTGTAAACTGTCTAGCTTTAGCCTGAATTTATACCTCTTTTGTAGGACTTTGAAAAGGGCAGCTAAAATAGCCGACATTCTGAACTTAACAGCTGTTTTCTCTAGAATTATATGCTTCATTGACCTGTGTTCTGCCTTCCATGGTATCACAGGCTACAGTTTCACCAGATGGTTTGCTATGACATAAACAAGAGTAACTGGTTTTCTAGTTTGTAGTATCAGTGTATCACTTGCTACACAACTGCCAGTTGAATAACATATATTTTAGCTGTACTACAGTGAGTACTCCCACTTCCAGATTTCGAATTCTACTTCAGATCTCACATTTGCATTCCAGCCCACAGGAAGGAGGAAAGAAAGGAAGGGAGAGCACAACTCCTTTCCTTTCCATCCAATCAGAAGAATAATGGGCAAGAAGAAGGACTATTCTTTGCCTTTAGGGGCATGACCCAAAAGTTGGAAACAGTGCTTCTACTCTTATCCCATTGGTGAGAATTCAAACACATGGTGACTTATAGTTAACAAAGGAGACTGGGAAAGGTCCTTATTCTGGTGGTGCAGTAGTTAAGCACTATGGCTCCTAACCAAATGATCAGCAGTTCAAATCTACCAGCTGCTCCTTGGAAACTCTATGAGGTAGTTCCACTCCGTCCTGTAGGGTTGCTCTGAGTCAGAATTGGCTTGACGGCAATGGTTTCTTTTTTTTTTTCTTTTTAATGTGCCCAGCTAAACATTGCTGGTTCTAATTTTTTAGAAGGAGTGGATGGATATTGGGGGAGTGGTGGTGTATCTGGTTTCCTCATGGTGATCTTTTTAAAAAACAGTAGTATTTATTTCATTATTGTTTAAAACCCTTTTGTGGTTTCTCATCCACTATTAGGTTATAGATAAAGCTGCATAGCAGGACTTACAAGACTGCCTCTACTTTCTCTTCAGTCTTGTCTCCCGTTTGTCCTGCTCCACCTGCTTCTCTTTTACATTATAATCGAGCATAGCAAATTAATTGTAGTGCCAGTGGCGTGCACGTTCATGCAGTCTGCCTTTGCATTTGCTGTTCGCTCTGCTACAGCATCCTTATCTCCATCCTGTCCACCTGAAAAACACAGAAGTCACCTTTTCCAGAAAAGCTGTGATCCTCTTTGTCATAGACTCAGTTGTTATTTTTTTACATTCTTCTCATAGCAATTTGTCAATACTTTGCTTACCACGTCTTCACTATATTGTAATTATTTGTTTATATATGTTTGCTGCATAGATTAAGAGCTCTGTAAGATCAGAAGCCGGATCTTATTAATCTTTGTATTTCTAAAACCTTGCAGAGTGCTTAGTATATGACAGATGTTGAATAAACAATTATTGATTATATATTTGTATTTTATCTTGGACTTTCTAGAAATTACATCTTACTACAAATACTTCACAGAAATTCATCAGGATCAGGGATCATGTGTCTTTGTATCTGTCCCTAGTTCTTATATGATGCGTGCTCTATTATAGCCCCTTAGTAAATTGCAAGGATGGATGGATGGATAGATGGAAGAAAAGGAGGAAGGATGGACAGATGGACAGCAGCTTCACCTGTTTTAATGATCTGGTGTTGTGGTATTGAGCCACTGCATGCCTTATGCTGGGTGCTAAGGATACAAAGACATGATCCCAGGCATTGGGAAGGTATAGGCTATTGTGAAGATCAGCAAGAAGACAGGATGTTATAGAAGGTATAGGTGTTGAGATGGAGGTTTGTTTCACTAATTGGGAGCACTTATACAGATACTGGAAGTAGAGAAGGAATCGTCAGGGAAGGATTGTGTCTGAATATTTAATATTGAATCTTGAAACTCAGAATCCTGAGTATGAACCAGGAGAAAGAGTAGAAGGTTGGGGGAGAAGTTTTATGTATCAAAAGAGGCAGGCTTTTGAAATCTTGAATGCCTGGATTTAAGTCCTGACTCTGCCTACCATATAACCTTGAAAAAAATTATTTAATCTGAATCAGTGTACTGGGAATATTGTCATTGTTTTATCTGTGCTTACGTTGCTCTGTCTACCTAGAAAGTTCTTCTCCCTTCTCTGATACTGCTAATGTAACTTTAAAGACTTCACTTACATTTCACTTCTTCTCCGAGGTCTTTCTAGACCGTAACTTGCCCCTTCCTTCTCTTCACCCTTTCCTTCTTTAATGCCTTCACACTATTCTCTAGAGCGTTTTTCACAGAATGTATAAATTCTGTGTTATTTCCACTAATATTCTTTCTGTATTGCACCGTGTGTTTCTTAAGGACAGCAGATATTCCTCTTATATTCCAGTGCCTAGCGAAGTCCTGGTACAGAGTAGATGTTCAGTACATATTATTACCTTTTTTCTAGTTCAATATAATTGAGTTCTTTTCACTGAAAATTTCCTTGGTACACCTTGCAAAGCACACTCAGACAATTGCCTGTTTCTGGCCAGGACTAGATCCACATGTTCAAATGTCTAGTATCGTCCTCTTTCTGGAAAAGCAAGCATATTATGTCTAATAATTGCTTGTTTCTCCCTCTAGATAATTAAGGTCTTAGTGACAAAATGTGACTTGTAATGACTCCATTAACTTTCTAGGGAACAGTGTAAACTGTATTAAGGTGCTTACTGAAAGGGAGTAATGCATTGTAGGTCTATTCCTCAGTTACATCGAAGCCTAACAGCAAGTATCTTTAAAATTTATGTTTGTAATAGCAAGTTTTTTCTTTGAATGTGGGAATGAAAAGACCCTCTACACCAGTGTTGTCCAATAGAACTTTCTGCATTGATGGAAATGTTCTGTATCAGCTCTGTCTAATAGGGTACCCACTAGCCATATGTGGCTTTTCAGCACTTGAAATGTGGCTAGTGCAGCTGTGGAACAGAATTGTTTATTTTTAATTTTAATCAAATTTAATTTTAAAAGCTACATGTGGTTTGTGGCTACAGTATTGACTGTGCAGTTCTAAACAAAACCCATTCTTTCTCTTTATATCATAGGCATCAAACGTGAAACTTGAACCCTTTTTCCTTAAAACCATTGAGTAATAAAGTTCTATTATTCTTTCATGAATTCTTTTTTTCTATTCCTTCCTTTTTATTTTTATACCTCATCTAGATTGTTGCAGTGCCCTCACTTCGGTTCTAGAGATTTTTGCACGGTGAATCCTAATAAAACACCCCTTCAATACCATAATCATGTCATTGATCTAAAATACTTTCATTGGCTTCCCATTCTGTCTTTGGATCTCTCTCCAGTCTAGCTTCAGTCTGCATTCAGAATCTTATGGGTTTGCTGCAGTCACAGTATTCAACTTGCTCGTTCTTCCTTGCCTTTGCCATATTCCCCTTACTTAAATTACTCTTTTGCCTGTTTAAATCCTACGTATCTTTAAGGCCTAAGTCCCATCTCCTCTATGAAGTCTTTCTTGGTCCTCAGTGATCTTTTTAATCCTTTTAGTTATTGCCATTGCCCCTCCTTGGCAGCTACGATCATATACATCCTGGATTACCTTTTTTGTGTTGTCATATAGAGGCATACCAAAAAAAAAACAACAAAAACTCAATTGTAAATCTATTTGAACATCCAGAACATTTCCCTGTGGAAACAATGAGATCTCTTTACGTTTGCAAGCTACCCTCAAAAGTCTCTTCATTTCATTGTAGCTTTAAGTCAGCTAATTAAAAAAGAGTAGTCTTACTTTTTATATCTTCTCCTATTCTTTGATTCTTCGGAACTCCTTTATTTTTTAAATGTTCAAGGTTTTCATTATAACACCGTGGAAGTTGTAATAGTCCCTAAGGATGGCTGTGATGGTAAAGGGCTGAGATTTTTATTGTTTCTAACTTGGTGAGAAGTAGCCTTTAGGGTAAGGATTCATTCATTCATTCATTTATTCATTCAACAGATTATATTAAATCCCTGCTGTGTGCTAGGCAGGAGGAGGCCTGGTGTCACAATGGTTAAGTGCTCACTGCTAACAGAAAGGTCTTCAGTTCAAACCCACCAGTTTCCCCACAGGAGAAAAGACCTGGCAATCTGCTCCTGTGAAGATTACAGCCTAGGAAACCCTATAGGGCAAGTCTGCTCTGTCACATGGGGTCACTATAAGTTAGAATTGACTTGATGGTACACAACAACAACATGTGTTAGGTGGAGTCCCTGGGTGGTGCAAATGGTTAATATACTCAGCTGCTAACTGAAAGGTTGGATGTTTGAGTCTACCCAGAGATGCCTTGAAAGAAAGCCTGGTGATCTTCTTATGAAAAGTCAGTCATTGAAAATCCTCTGGAGCACATTTGTACTCTGACACACATGGGGTCTCCGTGAGTTGGAATTGACTGGATTGCCAAAAACCTCTCAAAAACTGCTATACATTATTCTGGGCGCTACACTTACATCAGTAGCAATAGAAAACAGACAGTAAATTCTAGTTGGATATTTTGTAATATTTATTCTCCTCCAACCAATATGCTTGATGTAATGCTTGATAAATGTAAGCAAATAATAAACATTACACTTGGTATTAAAATACGATTGAATAGCACTTTTTATTCCATTCAAGTTGTACAGTTATATTAATGCTATTAATGTAAAGCCTAAAGATTGTTTCTTTTGTGTCATTTGAAATAGAGCATCCTGAAGATGTAGCTCCTACTGTTGGATTTTCCAAAATTGACCTCAGACAAGGAAAGTTTGAAGTCACCATCTTTGACTTGGGAGGTGGAAAGAGAATTCGGGGAATCTGGAAGAATTACTATGCTGAATCCTATGGAGTAATATTTGTTGTGGATTCCAGTGATGAAGAGAGAATGGAAGAGACAAAAGAGACAATGTCAGAAGTCCTGCGACATCCCAGGATATCAGGAAAGCCTATATTGGTGTAAGTAATGATGGTGTCACTGTAAACATAGGGGCAGTGGCATTAGCCAGTGAAGAAATTTGCTTAAATTACAAAACATTGAACAAGTCATAATCATCATCATGAGTATAATAAAAAGTATGTAACCAACTGGGTTGTCAATATACTGAGGTCCTGTTATTATGCTGTCTGTAGGGATTAAGGGTTGAAGCTATATATTATGAACAATCCTTATAATTAGATCTTCCGGACTTATTAAGTATAAACTGTTTATTTTGTTGCTAATGTACTTTTTTTTTCACATTTTGCATTTTGAAATAGTCTATTAAGAGTTCTAGAACATGTAAAATATTTTTTCTTCTTTTAATAACTTTTTTATGCTTTTCTTATTTTCTTGAAGAGTATTCTTGCTTGAAATGTATTTAAATGGTTTATTTTTCAAATTGATCTCTAGTTTTCTTTTCTGCATTTTCAGGTTGAACATGTGCTCTGTATCATTATTAACTTGGCCATATGCTTACATCATTGTGTCCAGGTGCCTAGACATGTTTTAAAAAACTAAGTGACAAAGGCCTTTTGTACTATATGCTCTCATAGCGTTTATGCGTAATAAACACTAGATGGTGCTATAACTATGAGACATGGTAAAATGAAAGTTTAAAATGCTTGTTTATATTGCTCTTGAACTTGGAGTAACCTCAATGTGTACGCTTGTTTTCTTGTCCCTTTCCCATCATTCTTGTGATTCATTAATTAAGGTGGAAAAATCATTAACATATGTGGTTAGATGAGAATTGAAAGCAAAGCTTTTCAGTGATCTTCAGTAGTAAATGAACATTTTTAAATGAGGCAGATTGGAAACTGACTACAAATGGTAAAGCTTCAGTCATTTATTGGTAAAACTTGTACTGTTTCCTTTTTATAAGTTTAATCAGTTAGAGAAATTACGAGATTTGTATAATCAATTCTCACCTTTATTGAATCTTAACAAAAACTTTAATAGAAGAATATAAGAAAGTGAACTTTGTTGAACCCCCCCCATAGGCTAAAGTAGTCTCTACAAATGTTTAAGCAGAGAGCCAATGACTTCTAGACGAAATTAAAAAGTGTTAATGACTGATGGTCATTTGAAAAATAAATTATGTGCTTTTTAAAACCTAATATTAATTAATTTATTCTTTTCATTTATTCTTTCATGCATTAGTTTAGCATTTATTTATTGAACACCCACTTTGTGCCAGGCATTGTTCTGATGATGGGGATGCATTAGGACGCAAAACAACCAAAGCCCATATATGACCTCATGAACTTACATTCTAGGGGGTGAGGCACCCAATAAATACAATAAATTATATCTTACATTTGTTTGTGTTGTTGTTAGTTGTCAGGTCGGTTCTGAGTCCTGGTGACCCCAAGTACAACAGAATGAAATGTAACCCGGTCCTGTGCCAACTTCACAATTGTTGGTATGCTTGAGTCCATTGTTGTGGCCACTGTATATTTTGAGTGCCTTCCAGTCTAGGGGCTTCATATATTGGACACTATTTTGTTGTGCTCCATAGGGTTATCACTGGCTAATTTTCACAAGTAAATTGCCAGGCCTTAATCTGTCTTAACCTGGAAGTCCTGCTGAAACCTGTGCACTATGGGTGACGTTGCTGGTATTTGAACTACCAGTGGCATAGCTTCTAGCATCATATCAACATGGAAGCCACCATAGTATGACACATTGACAGACAGGTGGTAGATAAATGTACATTAGATGATAAGTACATGAAAAAAATTAAGCAGGTAAAAGAGTATCAGGAATGCCTGTGATGATGGTAGTGGCCAGGACATGTTGCTCTTATAATTAGGATAATGATAATTGAGAAGTTGACATTAGAGGCTAGGGAGTCAGTCAAGCAGGTATCTATCTGGGGAAAGGTCTGCGGTGGGGACATGCAAGTGATTAGTGACTACATTGATTACCCAAATAACTCTTGGCAAGATATCTGCTTTCAGTTCTGTCAAGTTTCTCAGCTAGAATATTTCCTGAATTGTTGTTAGATACCTTGGAGTCAATTTCAACTCACAGCAAAAAAAAAAAATCTACAACTAGAGTGATTGCTTCACTGCTATAATCTCATAGTGAGAACGCACAAAGATGTGAGAATTAATTATGAACAGTATGTTTATGAAATAGAGAATGATTTGCCATTTGACCAGTTTTTCTCAAGGAAGAATTACAACTGTAGGATTTCTATTAAGAGGTAAACTCTTTTTTGAAGTGAATGTGCTTTAAAAAAATATACAAAATTACGAAAAGGTACATATTCTTTTTTTTTTTTTAATTGTGCTTTAGATGAAAGTTTACAGAGTAGATTAGTTTCTCATTAAACAGCTGATACACATATTGTTTTATGACATTGGTTGCCAACTCAATGACGTGTCAACAATCTCTGCTTCTCGACCTTGAGTTTTCCGTTTCCATTCATCCAACTTTCTTGTCCCCTCCTACCTCCTTGTCCTTGCCCCTGGGTTGGTGTGCCCCTTTATTCTCATATACATGGTTGAGTTAAACATGTATTATTGTTTGTTTTATGGGCCTGTCTAATCTTTGGCTGAAGGGTGAACCTCAGGAGGAGTACACATTCTTAATAAATTCAGAGATATAGGAAATAATGAGTTAACAAAAAATCATTCATCGGCCATCCAGAGCCAATAATTGCTGACTTTTTTTTGTTGTTGTTATACTTCAGAAGAAGATTTACAGAACAGACTAGCTTCTCATTGAACAATTAGTATGCGTATTGTTTTGCAACATTGGTTACCAACCCCACGACACGTCAGCATTCTCCCTTCTCGACCTTCGGTTCCCAATCACCAGCTTTCCTGTCCACTCTTGCCTTCTTGTCCTTGCCCCTGGGTTGGTGTGCCCCTTTAGTCTTGTTTTGTTTTATGGGCCTATCTAATCTTTGGCTGAAGGGTGAACCTCAGGAGTGACTTCATTACTGAGCTAAAGGGGTGTATCGGGGCTATTCTCTTGGGGTTTCTCCAGTCTCTGTCAAGCCGGTAAGTCTGGTCTTCTGTGAGTTAGAATTTTGTTCTACATTTTTCTCTAGCTCTGTCCAGGACCTTCTGTTGTGATCCCTGTCAGATCAGTGAGTGGTAGTGCTGAGCACCATCTGGTCCTGCTGGACTTAGTGTGGTGGAGGCTGTGGTAGTTTGGTCCGTTAGTTCTTTGGACTAATCTTTCCCTTGTGTCTTTGGTTTTCTACATTCTCCCTTGCTCCCGACAGGGTGAGACCAGTGGAGTATTTAAGCTGGCTGCCCAGAAGCTTTTAAGACTCCAAACACTACTCACCAAAGTAGAATGTAGAACATTTTCCTCATAAACTATGTTATGTCAATTGAACTAGGTGTTCCCCGAGACCATGTTCCCCACAACCCTCAGCCCAGCAGTTCAGTCTGTCAGGGAGTTTGGATGTGTCAGTGGAGCTTCCATGACCTTGCCTTGGACAAGTTGTGCTGGCTTCCAACTGCTGACATTTTGATGAATTTCCTATGCATGTTTTATAAAACAGGTAATGTATGCAGTGTTCATATAACATGAAATTTTTTAACCATCCTTTTTTGTGTTATAAACAAACCCCTCTGGAATATCTGCCCAAGATCTGTATTTGGAAGTTCTCTTGTTTACCTTTTTATTTCTGGCCTACAATTCATTTTTCCTACTATCTTAATGTCTGAGTCAGTTCACTACTTTGTCTGTCCCCTTGATGTTACCTCAGTTCAGCCCCTCTGTACATCTCCCCTGTGTTACTGAAAACAACAGTTTCCTAACCAGTCTTCCTGCCTACCATCTAGGCTTTTCTGTACATCACTGGCAGGAACTCTTTTCTTTATTTGATATTTTTGAAATTATAAAACAGTTATACCCAAATGAAACAATGTAAGACTATGTGAAGAATAGGGAGGCTTTTTAAAAATGCAAATTTGATAATTTTACTGTTTCTCTGCTTAAAGTTCCTTCAGGTTACCTTCATAGCTTTCAGCATGTAGTGCCACCTCTTTAACATGGCTTCCAAGGCTCTTAATCTGGTTCTTCATTCTCTTGTTTTACCACTTCCTTTTTGTCCTTGCCTGCTCAAGCCTTAAACATGCAGCTACCTTCTGCCTGGAGTGTTCATTCCTCAACCTTTTGTGTGGCTAATTTCTACTACATAGCCTGATGCATAAGTCCTCTGGTTCGAGTCCCTTTTGTGGTCACTGCTGGGAACTTTTGAAAGAGCCCTGGTGGCACAGTGGTTAAGGGCTCAGCGGCTAACTGAAAGGTTGGCATTTGGAACCTACCAGCTGCTCCTCAGGAGAAAGACGTGGCAATTTGCTTCTGTAAAGATTACAGCCTAGGAAACCCTGTGAGGAAGTTCTACTCTGTCCTGTAGTGTCACTGTGAGTCAGAATCAGCTGGATGGCAGTGAGTAACTTTTAGGAGTCAATTAAAATACTGTCCATCCAAGGAAGCTTTCCTAATGACAACTCACAAAGGCATCTCCAACCTGAGTATGATGTTCCTGGTTTGTAAGTACCTCGCTGTATTGTGATTAGTTTATTTATGTCTCCTTTATTAGACTCTTAGCTCTTTGAAGTCAAGGATCATAGGGATCTAGCACAGTGCTTGGCAAATGTTGGTTTAATCAACCAGTGTTCCAGACCCAGGTTCATGGTTTAAAGAACAACTATAAATGCTTGCAGATTGATGATGCAGGTAACATGAAATTAGCATGGGGCAGTACAAAAAGTCTCTGGATTTTATCTCAGAATTTTTCTCAGGAACAAACCATGTAATTTAAGTGTACATTCTAACTGCTCTATTTGCCAGCAGATGGTGACATTAGTGTTGTGAGATGCTCACTTGGCAACTATAAATGAGATGCTTTTTGGCAGTTTTTATCAACTATAGAAACTAAAGGATTAACACAGAGAAAAGGCAGAAGAACTGAATACTAGTCCCATCTTTGACATTAATTATTGTATTC